GAGCAGTGAAGAGTGCCGAACTAAGACGGAACAGCTGTCGTCCAGTAATCTACTCGTTTTTCGCAGTTCCCTAGTTGATGTCGCAGTTCGTGAAGAAATCAAACCTGAAGTCAAACAAATCTCAACTAATCAACATTTGAAAACAATTTATGGTTAAAAGTAAATGCAACATCTTCAAAAAAGGAGAAAATGATTCAGTTTATATACACAACAGAAAGGAAATTGAAGAAAATGCTGTGAGTTTCCTTCTCACCATTGGTAATGTAAATTGCATACGGCCATTACAAAAACAAATAGAATGCACGATAAAATCAATAAATTAAGAGGTATAATGCAATGTTTGTAAAATCAGAAATATTTTTGAAAAAGGAAAGAATATAAAACGCTTAGCAAACAAAAATATCACATTACAAAAGAAAATAATTACACAAACAGGAATAGTTTATGAATTGAAAACGAAATTTACAAAAAATAACAACAATTTACAAGGTCCAGTGATTAGTTTGAAATATTAAAATCCCTGAACATATTTAACAGACCATTTTGTAAATTTTCATTTTGATTTATTTCACGAAGCAGTAACGATTTTTGATCAGGCCTTGTTGATAATGTAGGGGATACCTCCTTTGGCTTTTTATCTGAACAGTGAGGTAGAAGACGTTTATCATATTGAGCAGCTATACTTGGACGAAGCATACGTCCTCTAGGTGTATTTATCAGCAGTTCAAACCTTGAACGACAATGACCACAAACCTATAAAAAAAGATGGACAAAGTGACACGACCATTGGTTGACTAATATATATTTTGGTAAATAACACTAGCACCTGGATTTTTCAACGGCTGCCACCCTGCAGTCCAGTTCAAACAAGAGGAGTCCGACTCAGAAATATTTTTTCTGAACTTTCAACTAGCAAGACGTGAACAAAGTGGAGAACTAGAAAGATTCATCTAGGGAAAGCCGATACTTAACGAACAGTGCACAAATTTTTATAGTTGCGTGCCTCTGTACACGACACGGAACCCGATGCATTCATTGAGCCACATAATCAGCCCTGACTGTGTAGAAGAGGAGCTGAGCTCTGGAAAGAAGTTTACTTGAAAATGGTTGTCCCGAACGCTTGCCACAAAACCCACGAAGTCTAAACGCTTAAACCGATCGCACTCTCTCCTCCTAAAAGACTTCTCTGACTAAATCTACAATTCAACAGAGAATCATCGGTAGAAATACTGAGAAACCGCCTGTCCCGCTCACTGAAGAAAACTTTCTTCGTGGCTGAACTTCGACCAAGTTTCTCTACAAAACGAATCTGTCTGGTTTCAACATAGAACTCTGCACCGATGTGCACCAGTTCGAGTTGCCACACTCCATGTAGCACACAAAGCCAGAGAGGAAAGTAAAAAGAAATGCACAATAGACACAGTAAACAGAGATATGAGGCAAAAAGAGTAGTAATAATGAAGAACAATATAGTTTCATTAGAAATTATGAGTCAGAATGAATGGATGTATCTGCACCATTGAGAACGATTTTGAACCATATCACCTACCCAAGAACCCCAGTCAGGAAGTCGACACCTTCCCACCTGGCTTAATTTAACTGCTGTGGATTTCACCGACTGATGAAGCCATGTTTTTGTTTGACCACCAGTGGCTCTTTTCCAACCTGACCCTATGTCAGCTAACATTGCCTGTCGAGGAAAGTGATGGCTAGGCATAAGTAACACATGTCCTAACTATCTCAATCGGTGTAGCTTCACAACCTCGTCGATTGATTCCCCCTCCTTACCTAGCTACTTGACGCCTAACCTCAATATTGCTCACCCTATTATACCATCTAACACGGGAGATAGAATGCAGACAACTATGATCAAAGACTGTGCGTCGGTGGCATAGCGGTTAGGACGCTCGCCGACCATGCACATGGTCCGGGGTTCGATGCCCGGCCGACCCACTCCTTTACCTCGCTAAGCCGGAAATAATGCTGGTGAAGAGGAAAGGTTAGGCATGAGGCTAGCAACCCCATCCTGTAAAAAATAAACACTGCTACAGAAACTTCAAGCCACTAGCTTGAAGCCCTATGTTCCACTGGGAACGTGAAGGAAAAAAATGATCAAAGACAGCTAGCCTTTTCATGTGTTCCACTCTCAAAGGCCATGTCTCGTTATAGCCATAAAGGAGGACGGAGCGGACTGATGAGCAGTACACCCGCCCTTTGGTCGATAGCCGGATATCACGTCTACGCCAGAGACGGTGTAAACTGGCATATGCGAAACTAGCCCTCTGTATCCGTGCTGAGATTTCGTCAGAGATCAACCCGTTGGGGCTGATGGTACTTCTCAAGTAAGTGAAGCGGTCAACGTGCTCTACCACTTCACAAAACGAATGATTCGTACTAATGTGAAAGATAAGCTACCACTGCCAGCATTATCGACGTGTATCCATGAATTAGCCTGCTCGTCTGAATCTAGGTGTATCGGCCATATTTAACGTTTGCTATCCAAACATATCATGGAACACTTTTGATTTTATAAGGAAGATTAAAGATCCCCCCGTAGTTCTACCTTGAGATACCTGATCGAACTTAGGCACCAAGCTTAACCACGAAATTACTTCAAAGTCGTCTACAGCATACGCGGAAGTCTTGCTAAAGGGGTACGAATCAAACTTCTTCAAATTGCAGACGTAATGGCAACTCACATGCTAAATGCCTAACTCAGTCACTAAACCCGCAATGGACACGACCTGTCTTAACACCAGATACGCAACGTTTTGTTTCTAATTGTATTATTTTCTTCCACCCCGTATTAAATTTCTGCCCCTTACTACCACTGCCACAAGTAAGCAAACAAATCTGATTGGTTGTATGAAATCATAAATTCTAAGGAGTCTCACGCCACAAAATAAACGATTGAAAAAACCCATCCAATCAGATTATCATATCAGTGCATGCATACACATTATGACTTTAAGGCTAACAACGGAACTTATCCTTCCTAACAAGTTGTATTCCATTAGAAACCGATATCATTTGGAAAATCAGTGAAAACTGAGAAAAACTGCAGAGCAGTGAAGAGTGCCGAACTAAGACGGAACAGCTGTCGTCCAGTAATCTACTCGTTTTTCGCAGTTCCCTAGTTGATGTCGCAGTTCGTGAAGAAATCAAACCTGAAGTCAAACAAATCTCAACTAATCAACATTTGAAAACAATTTATGGTTAAAAGTAAATGCAACATCTTCAAAAAAGGAGAAAATGATTCAGTTTATATACACAACAGAAAGGAAATTGAAGAAAATGCTGTGAGTTTCCTTCTCACCATTGGTAATGTAAATTGCATACGGCCATTACAAAAACAAATAGAATGCACGATAAAATCAATAAATTAAGAGGTATAATGCAATGTTTGTAAAATCAGAAATATTTTTGAAAAAGGAAAGAATATAAAACGCTTAGCAAACAAAAATATCACATTACAAAAGAAAATAATTACACAAACAGGAATAGTTTATGAATTGAAAACGAAATTTACAAAACAAAAAAATAACAATTTACAAGGTCCAGTGATTAGTTTGAAATATTAAAATCCCTGAACATATTTAACAGACCATTTTGTAAATTTTCATTTTGATTTATTTCACGAAGCGGTAACGATTTTTGATCAGGCCTTGTTGATAATGTAGGGGATACCTCCTTTGGCTTTTTATCTGAACAGTGAGGTAGAAGACGTTTATCATATTGAGCAGCTATACTTGGACGAAGCATACGTCCTCTAGGTGTATTTATCAGCAGTTCAAACCTTGAACGACAATGACCACAAACCTATAAAAAAAGATGGACAAAGTGACACGACCATTGGTTGACTTATATATATTTTGGTAAATAACACAAGCATTCGGAGCGATATTTCCTAAGGTTTTACTATAAAAGGGTGACGTAACAGTTCACTAATAACTAAGTGAAATCAAAATGGAGTGTCTGACAAGATAAAACACGCATTCTGGAATTCATTACTCCAAAAGTGACTCATCACTTCTTAATACGAGAATGTGTTAACCTGGTCTTTAAAAAATTGGTTATCTTATTCATTTCTTTTCATAGGGAAAGTGAGAAGGGAAATTTAACACCAACAAACATAATGCAGACAGACAAATAAATAGATACTGAGAAAGACTAAACGAAGTCTATGTACAGAAATTTATTTCACACATATAACTCAAATCTATATACATGCACTGCCTTAGTATAATCCTGAATTGTCGTGTCTCCATTGCAGATACGTATTTTTCTCCGTTTAACTAATGCAATACCGATACAAAACAACATGCAGAGACATGTATTGGTGTGCTTCTTATTCAGAAAACATTTCTGGAGGCAGTACCCAACAAAAGTGCTGCGACGCTTTTTCGTACTACACAAAGATAAGTACTGCTAGGTAGCATTAATCGTATTGACCAGTGGGCTGGTGGAGGGGGGTTAGAATACGTCAAGTTATCTTTGTTAGGATATATACACATATGGTTAATTGTCCTAGTATTTTCATTGATTTTTATACTGAGACCCATACAAACTCTATTAAAGGTTTCACGACTGATTAAAGAACCATAGTGCTCTTTAAAAGTTTGAACAAATTAGCATTATATGTAGCCTTTTTGATGTTCATATGAATAGACATGGGCTTCAAGTTGGGGAATGATACTCTGATGACACATACTGAAAGTTTTATCGACCACTTAAAAAAGAATTATCTTGTGTAAATAAACTTTTCCCTGTAATGAACGGTTAATGAGCTACTGATTAACCGAAGTCATCTAGTGCATTTTGGTCTTGTTCACTAATCTGCAACTTCAACCGAGATTCCACAACTTCTGACATCACGAGGTACTTTAAAGTATTTATATTACTTATAGTAATATACAAATAACATCCAATCGTCAAAATAATCTTAATGTACTGAAAAGAGTGACTATATATAATATGTAAAAAAATATATATAATCACACCTTTTTCGTGGTATCCAAAGATTTGCTGTGTCGATTAATGCATGCGCCACAACCTGTACACCGGTATGTAAATCGTGTTTCAATAGTATATGCGTGACAAACCGAAACCATAGGTAACCGCGGCCAGATACGATGAGCTCGGTTAGCCCAAGCCTTCCAGCGTCGTCCATGACCGTCATTTACACCATCTAGCAACCAAACAGCTGCATGACAAACTTCGTGCAACAAAGTGTCTCTCACACGTTCTGCTGTAGTGCAAACCTTTTCTGAAAGCAAAATTTGTGCAATTCGAACCTAAGTGAGAAAACAACAAAAAAGGATAAAATTACGTCAGAAAAATTAGCCGATACAGCGTTTCGAAGTTACTGATTTAATACAAACATGAGCCAGTAGATTACGGTACAGGAGGATGATGGTAACAGACTCGATCTATTACTGGATTGTGCGTACACAATGCTGAAGCGCTGAACAGCAGGACGAAATAAATGTACAGCGATCTTAAGATTGCATCTATTTCTGATAAATAACCCACTCTGTAGCAAGTCAACTTGTGGTGGTGTGATACAGACAATGTGTTCCAACGGAATATTGTTCTCACAGTAAGAATTATTGTATTTGTTGGTGTTAACGTCTGAATACTATTCCCACAGTTCAGTAGTGCATTAGCAACAGAATACTATGTATATTTGAACATTCTGTTTAATGTCGTGTAACGTAAACAAAAATCACACGCTGTGATTAGTTAAAGAATATATATATATATATATACATATATATATATATATAAATAGCGCTTTTATCGATTGAAAATATACCTTGGCTTCCGTGTCTTGCCTTCTGCTGTTGCAAACTAATTGTAAACTTTCATCATGGAGAAAGTAAAACAGGGTAATTAATATCTGTGAAAAATTTGTGCATTGTGGAATAGATCAGATTCATTATATTTATATTTCAATAGTTATTTACACATAAGTTTTTTTTTTTATTTTGGTAGTATTTCCAGAAAAATTAATGCCCGTGATTACACTAACTGTTAGAATTGTTTTAAAAAAAACAATACTACTGAAATATCGGAATACTGATAGCTATCCACAAATCAACCTTGTACTGTTGTCTGGTGTCCTGTATTTATTGATTGATGCTGGTCAGTAAGAAATTCGCCAAACTATGACTAAGATGAGTTGGATTTCCGAAACGTACAACTTTGCACAAACATGTGGCAATTTAAGTTGTCAGACTCTACATAGCACACAAGGGTAGCGAAAAATAAGAATTCAAAGGAATTTTAATGGACAGAACGCCATTGAGAACTATTTCGAGTCATACCACCAACAGTCTAGAAGATCCTAGTCAGCAATCCTACATATCCCTACGTGTGCAAACCAACAGTTAAAGAATTCACAGATTGATGCCAAGTTTTGACTTGGCCATGGTTAATTGTTTTCTTACCGTATTCCTCGCCGAGGTAGGCGATGGCTCAGCTTGCGTAAAATGTGTGCTAGGTATCTTAATCAATGCAAATTCACAATCACATCAATTGACTTTACATTATTGCCTAACACTCTACGTCTAACTTCAATATTACTCATCATTTATACCACTTAATACGGGAGACAGAATGTAAATATTTGTGGTCGAGGACAGTTAGTCTCTTCAAGACTTCAAATTTTAATGGCTACCTCGCAGTCATAATGTAGGAGAGGGCAAACTGCTGCGCAATACGCACATCCTTTGACAGATGCTACTCGAACCTTCTATAGCCATGTTGATATTTCGCCATCAATCAGTTTATTAGGACTGATGCAACCTCCCCGAATAAGTGAAATGGTCAACAGGTTCAACCACTTCAATCTGGATGTCGGTGCAGACCAATCCTGCAGCATCATCGTCTTACATTTGACAGAGGCAAATCACATGGCAAATATATTAAGATTCAAACTGACAATGAATGGTGATCACTTGATGTTTTATTCAAGCGAAGCATTACTGGATGAAACCTTGCAATAATCAATTTATAAACAGCTTCAACTCAAAAGAATTGATTTAAACTGATTTAACAGAAGAAGAGGAAGAAGAAAGAGACGATACAGAAGTTGTCCGAGAACATTTGCTTCTGTTCTTCGCAAGTATGACTTCAGTGACCGGTGAAAACAGTACGGTAGATGTCTAATGGTCTAAAATTTAATCAGCACGCCTATCATGCGTTGCCTGTCATTTCACATGACAACTGATTGTAAACTGTTTACTATTATCAATGTTTTGAGGTGAATTCTGTATTGCTACTTTGAAAAGATAATTCAACCAGAAAAAATGAGAATACCTATTTGAACAATAACTAATGTCATCTAACGAATTACATTATGTACTTAATTGAATCAGTAAACTGTACTGCTTTATTCAGTATCGAATAACATAGAATGAAAAAGTGGTTAGCTTTACAATTTTACCTGAGTAGAAGTCTTGTCAGAATGGGTTGTTGTACGTGTCATATACTTGCAAAGACCAGCAGTTTTCAACAATCGACGATTCCATATTATCTCCAGATTTGACGGTAACTGCAATTAAAAATAGGCAGGAAATAATATGAATACTCTTCAATTAAAATATAACACAACTATACTTAACACACACACACACACTGCTAGTAAGCAGAAGCTCTTCTATTCACAGAATTCCATCATTAAATCAGTTCTATCTCGACATAACATTGCTAATAAGTTGAATGTTTCACTTTATCGTTTTTGGGTGCATAACCCTCAGCCACACCATTTTTAATTATTAAAGCTACTTTATTAATATGTGTAAGACTCGGATACGGCTTCCCTTTTAATTCCTTTGCGTTCTAAGAGGAACACAGGGCGTCAAGCTTTGAAGGTTCAGTGGCTGTGTTGTTTTTACGCTCACGCCCAACCTAGCCTCTTTTTCCGTCTTACTACAGGCTAGGAAAAGTTTAGAAGTGAGTCCAGACCTCTGGCATGGTTGACGAGCATTCCTACAGTTGAATAACCGACGCACTACAGCGGTATTTAATCTCAGATTAATTTGTTTGCTGTATGTATCACACAGTGAAACAAAATTACTGACTGAATGATGTTTGCGACATAATTTATTGTTCACAGCCACATAAACTGATTAGGTGATGTCAATCAGACAAGAATGTATCACAGATAGGAAAGTACTAAATCATCATTATTAAGTTCGATTATTAAATGAATCCGATTGATTTTTCGTCCCGTTTAAATGGTCACTACATAATTCTTAAGGATAAGAGATACGGCATTCAGGACTGCTGTACCATTGTTTCTCATCACGGACTTATTGCATTTAGATGATAGGCATAACATCATTGCACAAGTCAGATGAATATGTATTAAGTCTACTTTTTCATTAATTGGTACAAACTCTGCCGACTCCATAAAGTCTTTCCATAACCATCGTTTTATAATAATTGAATACTGCTCAAGTAAACGTGTCTGTTGGCAGAATTGGACAATGTAAGCCACACAAACAATGAAAACATATCCTTTTCAAGAACTCGATGTGCTCTGTTCCATTTTAAGTAAGTTTTTGTATGTTTTTTTTTAATTGAGGAATCCCAGACAAGAAGCAGAAAGCTATACAACACTTATTGTTTTACTCAACATGTGACTGATGTTAGTTATCTATAGGATTTTTACTAAAATATTGATAAACCAATTTCCAGCAGGTTATCTATAAATCCAGCAACAGCCTATATATATATATATATATAAGTCCTAGATCTGTGTCAGAATTAATTCCAGTTGTCCACCTTACAGTGAGCGACAAAGATGAAGAAAAACCTTTTCTCTATTCGAAGAAGCATTTTAAAGTTGTATGAATAACAAGTGTACTCTCGCCTACACATAATTATTATTCAGCAAAATCTAACATATTATCACTCTAGCAATGGTTTATAACACTGCAATCTTTGTTTTTGAAAGCTGTACGAAATCGACTAGTATGCACGACAACAAACAACAACTGGTTGTTCAAACTATGATAAAGGAAGAGGAATTCGGTAGAGTGTTTTGTTGTTAGTTTGAGATCGAGTGCCCAATAATGCTAGCAACACTGTATGTTCATTCTGCATACCAATTAGATATTTATTAGTAACATAATCTTCTATTCATTTTATTTATATACTTCTTAATAATGATAAACTGATATTTAATTCAATAATAGGTGAAACAAATGAGAAATAAGTTTGTTTTACGAATGTATAACAAGCAAATAATGAAATTGAATAAAACAACCAACTAATAAATATGCCGTAGAAACCGTAATATACTCATAATAGAAATAACACAAGATATGCTAACAAAAATAAATAAATAAATAAATGAGATATACTACTGAGTCAATTTCTTAATACCTACTTGGTTAGAGAATATCTTTTCATTATAAATTTCATACAATTTCTTGGCTAATTCACATCGATTGGGTTTAAATTTTTGAACAAATCTGGTAACAATACAAAAAACAAATATGCATAGTTATGTAAAAGCATGAAATACAATTCAATCTTGATTCTATGAAAGATATAGCAGATAATATAAAATCAGACTTCGTAGTTGGTGTGTAAACTTTTGCATGAAATTATCTAATTAGACGAGTATATATATTTTTTCTAAATTCACTGTTCTATGTGAACGGTGGCGTAGTGGTTGACAAGACGGCATTAAATATTTCTGGGAACGAAATTTTACAAAATACATGACACCAATTTAATTGGTGCGTCGGTGGCATAGCGGTTAGGACGCTCGCCGACCATGCACATGGTCCGGGGTTCGATCCCCGGCCAACGCACTCCTTTACCTCGTTAAGCCCGAACTAAAGCTGGTGAAGAGGAAAGGTTGGGCATGAGGCTAGCAACCCCATCCTGTCAAATAAACACTGCTACAGAAACTTCAAGCCACTAGCTTGAAGCCCAATGTTCCACTGGGAAACGTGAAGGAAAAAAAATTTAATTGGGTTCAATGTATGTTGCTCAAGGAACACAGGGATCTCAATGTATTATTCGGCCATTAGTCACACCTATGGTTAAACATGTAATGATATTTGAAAGCAGCAAGGACGAAAAATGGAACACGATAGTATGCTTCTTGACTGACTGGATTCCACATAGAACTTTGCACAGAAGTGCGTCAGAAATGTAAGGGAGAAAGAATAGTAACATGGAAAAACAACAGGATTTAATGGTTATGGTAGATCACAAAGGCATCAGTAACACATGATCCAGCCATCTCAACCGAGATCGCTTCACAACATATGTAGATCATATTTCGTCAGATCTTTTCAGCTGTGTAGCATGTGTGATATTATAACAACGCATAAAAACATGTTTGACATACATAAAACTGTTCGATATGCAGTTAAATTAATGCGTGATCTTAAGATGTCAGTTATATATATAATTTACTCACGAAACAGCTGATGGACGAAGCATATATAACGTATAAAAAGTTGTGTACAAAAGTTACTGGGGATAATTAATGGCTTAAAACTCATTCCTTTAGATGATACAGACTGGTTGGAAAAATCTCCACAGTTGTAGCTAGATTCAAACTCGTAGCTGAAGGTCGAATGTCTAGACCTATGAACTACATTCCTATGAAGGGTTAAATGTTTTCCAGGATATCGGATTACTGCTCCGAATGGCTACAGTCATACTTGTAAATAAAGATTTCTGAATTAAGCGAGTGTTATCAAAGGCAACCAACCTATGCAGCAATATGAGAAGCTTTAAAATGAAGACTCAAGAGAAAAAAGAGCTAGTTAGCGCAATGATACTTATTTGCAACATATTCAGTAAGATATTTAATAATAGGATGATTAACTATGGTAAGTATTTATGATAGGATATTCTTTACAGTAGCTTTGTATAGCCCACTGAATATATACAGATTTATACATTACCTTATCTACTTATCTGTACCAGTATAATAAGGCTGATAAGAGAAAAGGAATGCTGAGAATGGACACACATACAAAAACGGTCGGTCGGTCGGTTTTCGACATAGAACTTTGCTTATATGTGCGGCAGTTCAAGTCGCCACACTCCATGTAGCACACAAAGCAAGAGAAGAAAGTAGTAGAAATGCATAGTATAGACAGTAAACAGAGATGTGAGACAAAGGAATAGTAATGACGAAGAACAAAACAGTTTCATTGGAAATCATGTCACAAGGAGTGGATGCATCTGCACCAGCCATTGAGAACGATTTTGAGCCATATCACCAATTGTTTCCAACCATTGGTTTTTACTGTCCCGAGGACTCCAAACAGGAAGTCTACACCTTCCTACGTGGCTTAGACTAACTGTTGTGGATTTCATTGACTGGTGTCATGTTTTCGTTTGACCGCCGCTAGCTCTTTTCCAGCCTGGCCCTATATCAGCTAACATTGCCCATTGTCGAGGAAGGCGATGACTAGGCATACGTAGCACATGTCCTAGCCATCTCAGTCGATGTAATTTCACAGTCTCGTCTATTGATTTCCCCACCTTACCTAGAACTCGACGACTAACCTCAATATTGCTCACCTTATCATACCACTTCACGCGGGAGATAGAACGCAGACACCTATGATCGAAGACAGCTAATCTTTACATGTCTTCTGCTCTCAATAGCCAGGTCTCACAGCCGTAAAGGAGGACAGAGCGGAATGTTGAGCAGTACACATGCGCTTTGGTCGATAGTCGACATACAAAAAAAAACATACGAAAACAATTTCAAATATAAAAACAAAGCATAAATGAGTTTATCAGACGGCTCACTTTAGTGCATCAGGATGACGAATTTTTCTGTGTGCTGTTGATTTTCTGTCATTATCATTAACTGGGTACAGTGAATACACAAAGTCCTCCACAGGCACATCTGATGAATTAGGCTTTTCGTCTTTCTTTGTGCTTTTATGACAGTTCGGAACATCTAGACGCTTTGGAACTGAGGTAGTAACTGACTGATTATTTTTAACCGAAGAAGAGTTTTCTCTATCAGACTCAGAGGAATCCGAATCGAATAAGGGTAATCTAAAATCAAAAAGCGTACTCATTTGGATAATTGTTGAAAGAAAAAGAGTTGTTAAGTTGTAAAACGAAACAGAAATGAAGCGAGAATATAACCGCAGAAGAAAATAGATAATATATGTGAACGATAACCACATTCAGAATTATGTGATAAACTATGAAGTACATATTCTTAGTGCTAACACTACCGTATGTTCACTTCTATCGAATAGTGTAGTGATTTCGAATCGAAGACAATATCTATACCCACGAGTATGTTAGTATATTAGCTTTCATTAATAGTAAACAGACTCTTAACTCATAAAATTAAAGTTTATTCCTTGATGTATGCGAACACTCACTTAGATGGTTTGCCGAAATTTCGTATGAAACTTTTGAATATTTTCCTGAATCCTAGGAACAAAAATTGCTAGACACATCTACTCATATTTTATCCCTGAACATTACTAGGACATGAAGTCTACAATATTTTACAGTCCACAACAAATAAACAAGATAAAAGGTAGTTGAAAGTAAAAAGAATCAATTAAATTTGTCATTTGCGAATTACACAATTCGAGGTGAGATTTCAAAACAGTTTCCTTTGGATAATCAACTTATTTAGATGACAACATGTGATATACGTGATAGTATAAATGGAAGTCAAGAAAGAAAGATAAATAGCATGGTGGTTTATAAAACTCGTTTGTATGACCGGTTGCTTCATAGCCACATCGAAGTGATTAAAACATAGGAAGACCAGTTAGCTTGTTTGGAGCAGAGTATTCAGCTGTGTACCTTGTTAAACGGAGATCAGTGGTCCCAATCAGTTTACTAGTGTTTACTTTATGTCAGGATAAGAAGAGAAATCAGTTAGTGGGGTTGTAGGTTCACATCTCTCTAACTGCAGCACTGAGTGATGTGGGATGGAATCACTCAGCCGACATCAGTTCTACTGAGGCTGCTGACAAGCACTGATGAGTATGAGAAAAATTTTCAAAACTTTCTGTTAACTGACACTAACCATTCAGTCAAGGTATACTGCAAATTTTTTTAATGAGACTGATCCCATACTACTTGTCAATCTATTTCAGTCAGGATAATAAAATAGTAGGATATTAGATCATCAGGATAGATAACACTTATATAAGGACGAAAGCATAGCGGTTTAAATTTCGCTTACAAATAATAGAGGATGTACAATCTACACTAATATTACTAAAAGGTGAGTTGTTTATCCTACATAAATTCCTGTTGAACAGCCTCACATGATTACTAAAGCGATAGTAGTTCACCGGTATGTGTTAATCGGAAATGATTACTCGAAATTCTCACCCATCGTCATTCTTCACTAAAATCAATGAGAACTACAGCAGGCGAGTTATTCACTATCATAGTCTGTAAAAAATCACACTAAGAATATGTCTCAACCAGGCTTAAAGGGACACGATGAAATTCGATCAACATATGGAAGTGTTAGAATTTACTACCGTCTACTTTGCATGTCTATTATCTTTTTCTCTACATACAAAAACACAGAAAAATAATCTAAATAACATGGGTCTTACTGGTTAAATGATACCAAATTCTTGAAGCTAACCAGCCTAACACAAAACAAAAATACTGACAATCTACAAGGCCAGATGCATATCGATCAGAAAACACTCGGAACACATAAGACTTTAAATATTTTAATTGATTTTTTACTTCTTAACAACTCCTGGCAACAAATTGAGACTGATGTAGAAGTCACACTTTAAAGCGTACTCCTGCAGTAACAAAACGCTTAGAACATTTGTTTCACAACAATATGAAGTGAATAAAGTATGTAGGTGCATTCACATAGACTGAAGACCCCATATCCTGACCAAATCGTGTGAACTGGTTTCTGGACTCCTACAAACACTACAATTTACTAACTTTCCCTTGTTACCAAAGGAATACTGGTGTTGACATAAACCCCAGAAAACTCTTGAATTAGCATATTACTGTCACATCTTCACTCAGAAATTTGTTCTGGATTAAATATAAGAATGTAAGTTGCTTGGATAGATGTTTCAACATCACTAGGGGCGATGACTGAAGGCCTTAAGTGATATGGTCTAAAATCTTTTGAAGTAATTTACATGTACGCATACTTCATTTCAAACGTTATACTATATATTTTTATTCCATACACCTGCCTCGGTTAGTAGTGTTTATAGCTTAAGATCCTACTACTTTCACTTTTTGTGTATTCTCTTATCATTTTTTGTTTTCATGAGTGGACGAGAGGTATGAAGAGATAAACTTTTGTTATGTAAAGCCCTGCTATATGTTAGTAATGTCATAGTAAACAGGAGTTCCGCATGTATAATGCATATCCTGTTATTAAAGCCACTACTTCATCCGACTATTCATGTTTATTGTGAAAAGCAGTTCTGTTCTATTCCATATTAGTTTGTTTATTAGATGTATCAGACAGTGAAACAGTATTATTTACTGGATGACTTTTCGAACAAAATTTATTGTTCATAATCATATCACTACTTTACCATCTATATTTCCTACTTTACATCTGATCTCGATACTAGTTCACTGATGGTTTCAATATGCTCTAAGAATGTTACGAAAACAGCGACAATCGAAGATTTGTGATCATCGTTTTATTTCTATTACTAGATATATGTACAGCTGGATAAAGCGAATTACTGAATGGGACATTTTTTCGATAGGCACATCAGTGTTTTTTTTTACAAGGATGGCATTTATTGACAAATAGCTAACTTAAATTCGGTGTGGTTATTGAAATTCTTTCAGAAAGCAGACAATTAAAGGTGATTGATGCTCTTTTGTACATCTCATTTTATCATGAAGCACACTATAGTTCTAAAGTACTTGGCATTCAGTCGGTTTAAATAAAATACTAAAAGATACTAAATATGAAAACTACATATATATAAAAATTACTTGACATACGATGGTTTTCTGACTTCCGAAGAGTCTACTTGATTATGGATTCTGTAGTAAAATGTTTGATAGGGAGAGGTAGAACTTGAATCATCATCCTCTTCAGACTCTCCAGATAGCCAATCGCTGCTTTGATCATCTTCCGATTTTGTTATTTTGGTTTTCTTCTGAGACTCTATAAATCTTTCAAAAGCATCATCATCGTCATCCCCACTACTAACGTTCGATTTATTATTTGGGTCGAAAAGATTATCAATTTTCAAGGATGTATGTGCAACTGTCCTAATATTAGAGTAATTAAGGGACATTGATCTATTCATGTCTGATTTTGTAGATACTAGAAGTATCTTAGAACTATCGTCAACCTTGCCATTATTGTCATTAGGATCACGAAAATGTTCGGTTGGTGAAGTTTGTACAAACAGTTGTGTGCCGAAGTTATCATCAACAGCTGCCTTATCTATCCCCGTCTTTGGAGACGCTTCAGGACTATATTTAACTATTGGTGAAACGTGTGCAAGTGATTGTGCATCAGGACTGTTGTCGAAAGCTGACTCATATAAGTTGGTCAGTGGGAAGTCAGAAGAAGCTTCAGGACTGAATCTGTTCAACGATGTTGTTTTCACATTCAACTTAGAAACTTCTGAGGTATGTGTTTCATCTATTTCTACATTAGATGAATATTTCTTTTGGCATTTATCAACGCATAACTTTTCTGGAGTGAATTCAACAAATTGAAGCGGGAAAGAGAGAAATTCCCGGGAGTTTGTATTCGTGCGGTCGCTTCGGAATGGAGTACGTGGATTCTTTTTCCTTGAACTGAGCTTTACAAAGACATTACTTCAAATGATAAATACATACCTGACTAATAATACCTAAAACATCGTTTTTTATGGGTGTTCGGCTAAAGTATTCCATTTACTTGACAAGATTCAGGAAAATTAATGTATTTTAAGCCTAAAAAAGCACAAACAAGAGTTACAATATACTATCAGTCAAAGTAAAAATAGGCGAGAAATTGAATTTTTCACAAAGGCATCATACAAACATATGTTTGGATTGTATGCGAAGAAGCTAGAAACAACGTACATTACTGTGAGGACTTCGCACTAGTCTTGATTTCATAGGATCAGTATTATTTCTCCTAGTAGCTGCCAAGAGACTCCGGACATTTAGAAGTTTGGTACACTGAATATCCCGCAAAAATATGCCACCAACAATCTTTTTTCACAACATCCAGTAACTGAGTGACATTTGACCTTTCTTGGAAGTAGTCAATTTAATATATTTTTACTTGCAGCTATGATAAATAGGGACGGTGTTTTACGTAATCAACTACTTCACCTTACATGCGAAAGCAAATTTTATGCGACTAGCACTATCTACTTGTTGCGAAATTCAAACAGAGTGACTAACAAAACACTGTCAAGCTTATGAGCTGTCACAGCACTACTTATTCAATAAATAGCTAATGATAACACTGTGAACAGAAGACTACTACACGAGACTGTATTTACCCTCCCGCCGATGTAAATACGAATTTAAATCCCACAGATTATAGAATTGCATCTAATAAAATGGTGTTACTCAGAAATCATATTTTATTTTTTATCTTGTTAATGAGCAAGAGGTATTGCGCGAGGACTAACGGTTTTGCCTGACTCAAAATCACTGGATCTAACTAGCTTCAAACCAATGAATCCTCGATTGGGAGCTATGTGCAAACGAGAGGACTACAGCTGTACTATCGGTAACCTTAATTTGTGCGGTAATCTTTTATATCACCCAAATAGTTATTATCGATAAAGACTCATGCGTCACCACATAGTCGCTCAAATTTTCAAACCTGTATATCATATATGAAATAATAAAAAAGAGGGAGAAAAGAGCATAAAAATAATACAAAGGTTGTGGAAGGTTTCGCGAGAAATTAATGAGATAAACTAACTACATAAGTGAAATTGTAACCTTGGAATGAGATAGGAGTGAACTCGGACCATGGTACTTAGTCTCTCACTACAGCTACTTGTGACCAAATAGACTTCAGCCAGACAACCAACATTCAACAACTCAGTGGATTAGTTGCCGCATCTTAGCTTGGTCTCCCTTGACTATCTGTTAACTCGGTTTTCATTCTGATAGCATAGCAGTAGACGATGCATAGATACAAGCAACATGAACCAGGCACCATTAGTTGCTAACCTATACGCTTTACTTAAAACTACACTTAAATTTTATATTACTAATTCGATGGTTCAACCAAACGCCAGAAATACTGATAATTCGGCGTTAATTAGGTATCTGGTGTTTCCGTTAAGAAAATACACCAAAAGGATATTAAATCTGTGACTAGTAGTTTGAGCTTTTAGACTGAGATATTCCGGAAGCGAGTTAACATCTGAGAACTCTTGAAAACATTATTGAAACTTATTAACAACTAAAGAAATGCATTCATCCATCTTTGGAAGTCCAAAACTTCTTATTAATCACTTCTCTTACGCTCATGTTTATTCATTGTGACATCACTTGGTTGATGTCGAGTAAGGAGGAATTCCACAATTCAAGAAAGCATAAATGAAGGTATAGAAAAGAAATGAAAATTTATGACAGAAAGAACGACTGAGGGTGATTTACAGCATCAAGAAGAGAAAAAAAGAGTGAAAACATCTATGCCATAAAGACAAATCCCGAATGTTTTCACCTGGGGTTTCCGGGCGTTGATTCCTAACCATCTTAATCGACGAAGCTTCAAAATCTCATCTAATTACTTCCATGATTACCAAACGCTATGCTTAATTTAAATATTATTGACATTGAACTCAGGCAGCCATGGTCAAAAATCGCTAGTCATTTCTTATCTAATTTCAGTAACCATACTTCACATTCGTAAAGAGTGGAGTTAACCGCGGCACAGTTCAAATGTCCTTTGATGGATAGACGGATACCGAACCTGCACTGGTTTGACGGAACTCAAATAAGTGGTGCTCCCAACACTTCTAAGCATTTCACTATCTCATACATTTATCTCCTTAATGAATTTGAATAAAGCAAGAACAACAATTTTTGCAGAATAAAGTGGTACCAACATTTATTTCGTTGCCTTCTCATCAGATGCTTACAGGCTAAAGTCACTATTAAATAAATCTACAGAAACAATTTTAACATATTTGCACATAGTTCATTTTAAACGAAAATCAGTCAATCAATATATGCCTACAGCAATTATATATATATATATATATATATATATATATATAATATATATATATTGTTAAACACTATTCCGAACAGTAATGATCATACACAATGGAAACTTTCGGCATTACGTATTCAGATGAAAGAGCGATGAAAATGTCGGGTTACTAGGGCAAAGAAAGGCTGATAACTGTTTCTTTCTGAACGCACAAATCGGGTTTCAGGCGCTTGATGGAGATGGCTTCAGCAAACTTGAGGAGAATTGAGCTCTTTTGCCTATTGATAATTTTGAACAATTTTGCGACGTCCACTTCATGACCCGCGTCAAAGAGAAGCATGGCGATTGCACTGTTTAAAGCATTTGTTCCCTTTAAACATACGCTTTTTGCTACATGTTCAGAAAATCGTAGATTTGCCCTTCTTTCTTTTCTTCCAATGTAACTGCTACTGCAGATACATGTAAATTTGTATATACAGTTGGAGTTGACATGAGAAGGATATCTATCGATTTTTGATTGCATCAAAGAGCAAGTTGTTCGATAGACGGGGACGAGCTCAGCTGCAAGATAGGCTCTGGCTAGTGACGTATTAGTGTTCTGTTGACCATTGCTGCATTGTTTTCACCTTTATAATCAAGTTGAATGTATAAAAAGCCAATCTGCATTCAACTTGATTATAAAGGTGAAAACATTGCAGCAATGGTCAACAGAAAAAGAATATCAACTAAAGTTAAGGAAATTTCTACAAAAAACTGAGGGCCATTCGAACCTCATCTAGGTTTCCTTAATTTTAGCTGATATTCTACTTGCGATTATATTTTTATTATTACTGTAATTTAAGCATCTTTAATGAACTGTAATTCCATTGATCTTACTTTACAAATCGATATTATTTAAAAAACACTAATATTGTTATTGACTACTATTCTAGAATAGTCTATGTATATGAACATATATATATATATATATATATATATATATATATATATATATATAATAGTAGAGCCAGAAGAGGATATTACCAAAAAGGATATTCTTTGCTCAATTATTGTGTTTTTTATAGATGTCTGAATGAATATGTTCAATATATTGAAATCACTTATAGTTATTCACGCAGACGATCCAAGAATTCGGAGACAGCTAAAGGCTCACAGCGGCACATTGCAAACAGATCTCAAGGACTTAATAGACTAGCCCAGGGAATAGATGCTGTCCATCAACGTAACCAAATGCGCAAACATGTGCACCAAGCACTCAAATGTTAGAGCATATGAAATAGAAGAAATGCTACTCCTCTTAGTTCAGACGCACACAGATCCATGTGTCACCATAAATCGTATTATAAATGCTACGGCCCTCTGTAATCTTGAGCAGCATTATTCTGGGCCCCCACTGGAATGACTGGTTAGACGTTCACCAGTTTGTATCCAATCGCGGCGAGGTTAAAACTAGACTTATTCACGATACTAACTCTTACCTTAAGGAGGCTCATATTCCAGGAAAGGCATACGTATGATTCGTGGTATTACTAATCTATCATACGTAAAAAGATTAAACGGTAGTTCTCCCTATCACACTGCAGGTAGAAAGGAAATCTAACCACGATTGACGAAGTTAAACTCCAATCATTCATTATTCAAACAGCAATCAAACAGTGAGTCTTCCTGGACCTTGTTAGCCAAGCCAGAACGTTTGACAATTTGATTCAGTACTATTTGTAGATCATGTGCCAGGCGGCTGCTATAAAGACAGGCGGAGATACCACTATATATAGGGGTGACAAACTAGTATGTAGATTAACCAAGGTACTAGGTAACGTCTGGGAATCAGAGTCGATTCCATCAGACTGGGGTAAGTCACTTATTATACCGATATTCAAGAAGGGAGACAAGTCCTCATGTGATAATCATAGAGAAATCAGCCTGACGAACATAGTTTTTAAAATCCTAGGCTCAGTAATCATGCACAGACTAAGCAGAACTCGGGAGAAACAAACGAGGGAAAATCAAGCAGGCTTTAGGCCAGGTAAAGGGTGTATAGATCACATCTTCACTCTCCGACAGATCCTAGAACATAGACACACTTTTAGGCGTCCAACAATTGCCATATTTCTTGACTTGAAGGCGGCCTTCGACTCCGTGGATCGAGAGGTTCTATGGCAATGTTTGACTGTGAAGGGAGTGCCAAGAAAGTACATTGCACTAATCAAGGCACTCTACTCAAACTCACGTAGTCATGTAAGAACTTATAGAGAATTGTCATCTGAATTGATAACAACCAGTGGTGTCTGTCAGGGATGTCCACTTTCCCCATTTCTGTTTAACTTCATCATAAATATGCTAATGGAAGTATCCTTAACTGAACTTAACGACTTAGGAATCGACTTGTTACCAGGGAATAGTCTTGTGAACTTAGAATACGCAGATGACATAGTCCTGTTAGGGGAGTATGCTGACAAAATACAGTCTTCTGAACACCTTGAGCAGCAATCTTCGTGTGTTTGGCATGCGATTCGCCCCTGTGAAATGTAAGATGCTGCTACAGGACTGGACTACGTCAACTCCTAGCTTAGTGATAGGGAGTGAAATGATAGAACATGTTGACCACTTCACCTATTTGGGAAGTTGTATCAGCACCAACGGACTGATTGGCGACGAAATCTCAGCACGGATCCGAAAAGCCCGGGCTGCTTTCGCTAACTTACAGTGTCTCTGGCGTAGGCGTGACATCCGGCTATCAACCAAGGGACGTCTGTACTGCTCAGCAATTCGCTCCTTCCTTCTCTATAGCTCTGGAACATGGCCAATACGAGCTGAAGACATGAAAAGGTTGACTGTTTTTGATCATAGATGTCTACGATCTCTTTCTCACGTTAGGTGGTATAATAAGGTAAGTAATGTTGACGTTAGGCGTATAGTGTTGGGCAAAAAGGGAAAATCAATAGAAGAGGCTATAAAGTTACATAGATTGAGATGGCTAGGTCACGTGCTGCGCATGCCTAACCATCACCTCCCCCGACAGGCATTACTAGCTGATATAGGTGCAGGTTGGAAAAGAGTAAGTGGTGGCCAAACAAAAACATGGCATCAATCCATGAAATCCTTGACAGTTAAACTGAGTCAGGTAGGAAGGGAGATGCAGACTCCCGGGTTGGGGCCCACCTTCGGGACTCTAAGAATCAGTGGCTGGAGACAATAGGTGACATGGCTCAAAATCGTTGTCAATGGCTTACGCAGATGTATTCAGTCTCTGTAATCTTTCATTTTCTTTTCTAGCATTACTCATTCTGTTTCACTCGTATACTTGTCAAAACTCTATTGGTTCCCTCCACTCATCTTTTTGTCTACCTTTGTGTGCTATTTGGAACAGGGCAACTCGAACTGCTGCACTTCGGCGCCAAGTTCTATGTTGAATCCAGACAGAGACAAACAGACGGCGGCTATAGTTTTACTTCAATATTCAAAACTGAAAGATGACTATTAGCCTGTTTTATCTGCTTTTTAAGTTCCCGTCAGGAGAGAAACACCCTAGAGAACACAGTAGGGGAGTCTAAAAGACGAAAAAAGCTGGCGAAGTTTAACTTTAGATACCCAGAAAGCGCAGATTCACCATGCCCCTTGAACCAGCGACTGCTTCAAGGGGCACGTCTGTTCAAATAACAGCCTATACATATATAGGGAATTCGGGGAGTGTTTTTCTGAGGGTTTGGGGGTGGAGAATATTACATTACCTCCAAACTTTTAATGTGAGTATTCCATCACTAAGGTTACACTAACCCTAACTTCAATGTATACCTTACCTAACCCTTTAATATCTCCAGGTAACTCTGATATCTACCTATTCAGATAAACTTAACCCTAACCAGAGTACTGGTCCTGTCAGCAGTCACTAACTTAGGAAATTAACAGCCTGACAGAAGTGATATTATACGAGTGAATAACAGGTAAAGCTTATTGTAAGAAAAAATGGGAGAAGTTTGGTTATATTACAAGATCCCTAACATTATTGACCAACAATTTCCCATTTTCATCATCATTTAACCCACACTGCCACATTGAAGCTTTTATTTAGGCAGTATTTGACCGAAAAGCCGTCAAAATTTCACCATTTCGGCCACTATTGAACCCTTGTCAAAGCAATATTTTCTAGTTATTCGACCAATGTTTCCCCACTTTCCTAATAATAAACAGCTGTTTCACCATTTAATCCATTATTTAACTAATCTTTGCTCATTTTTCCAACAGATTTACTATTATCTGAGCTATCGATCGACTCATTCAAGAAAGGACTAGAAGGGAAATCAGATAGCAGTTTAAGTAGGGTTAACATTAGCTCTAGACTTACCACTCTGAACCAGAAAGCACGAAGGAATCTGAACCCAACACCCTCCGGTGCCTTCTAGGTCAAATATCATAAATAGCGCCTGACCTTCAGAAAGTAATGCTCTGTTATGCATTTCAAGTGTCTCATGCATTGGTGAGGACATTATTTGGTTGGTGGAAAGTAACAGTGGAACCCAGGATTGGGTATTCCTGCATCTCTGGTGAGTGATGAGGTTTGTACTGAGATTTGAACTCAGTAACAATCTTTCCAAATTATTGATATAAGTATAAAAATTGGGTACTGTGGTAGAGTGTAACTCCATTATGGATAAGATTTTATTTTGATAATCTTATCCATAATAGAATCTTTCCAAATGCCAAAACGTTTTTCATTATATCAGCTGGCCGTGATAGCCACCCCTTGTGCAGCGAGTGATTTCTATTATTTGTAGAAGTTATTTCCAACTCCAAGGCGGAGAATTTACTGGAACAAGATGATCGGACTCTTTTGACATGTCAGCTCCTAGTACAGACATGGTGTTGCGTATGGTTAACGCGTTGTCTAATAATGCCAGCTGATAACAAACATTTCTATCGACCAAATTCAAGAAACAGGTACCAACAATTAACTTAACAAGTAATTAGGTATATACTTCGAGCAGGTGATTTTGGGGAAGACAGTTACCTGGCCTGGTTGTAGATGTTGAATAAGAATGCTTAGAGAGTGAAAGGCCATGGGTAAACTGAAGTCTTCTGGCAGATGCAGAGACGCGCTTGCGAAGTGAACTTTCTAACATCCTCACAATTGTTTTCCTGAGGCGGTCAACTATTTGAAGCTAGTCAAAGCTTTCAAGATTTAGCCCGAGATTAATTGTGGTACCCTGTGTGCTGACATCACTTGGTTCTCCAAGCAAAAAGCCTATATTTCAACAGAGACTATGACTGCAGAGTACATACCTTATTTTCGGAATCGCCGGTAGTGTTCTACCTGTCTCCGAGCATTCACTGATCCTATTCATGCACAAAGTGCGTTGGCTTATTCTGCTGTTTATTGATCTTATTACTGGGGTTATTAAACTTACTGTAGTTATTCAACACTCTTTATAAAACAGTTCTTGTCTGATTTGATTTAGGTGGCTAACTAACAGAAAATTCACACTTTTTTATCGTGAACTGATTTCATTTTACCTCTGAAGACAGCGAAACACCCAATAAGGATATCACGTGAACGATGCAAGGATACCTCCTTTAATTTTGAAGTGTTGTTGACGCTGTGTCTTCTAATGCAGGTTTGCACCTGTTGATAGGCACTAAGTCTTACTTAATGCTTTAGATGTATTGATGACTATCAAGCCACTCCCATAGACATGGTCAGTGCTGATAAAAATTCATGTGGTTTATACTATCAAACAATTTTACAGTTTTGAATACTGAGACGGTTAGTCCATTTATGACATTTAAATAAGACATTGAGAAGACGAGGATGGAGTGATAATATCATTTAGTATTTTCTTAATGACTGCTTCATGGTTCAAAATAATAAAATAAAATGTATAATAACTAAAAAGTTGCATAAATATGGCATAAAATTGTCCTAAAATTAGATTTTGAGATAATCATTGCAGGTGTATGATATCTACGCCACATAGGATGTTCCATAGATGATTGAGTCACTCCCCAAACCGTTGAAGAATACAACGAGGTTAGAAAAATAATCAAATAAAGGCAGTAAATTCTTTAAAATTTTTATGCCTTCTATTCTCTTTAGATTTTCATTGAATGGTCAGTGCCCCTCCATGTGTTTTGCTAAGATTACCTGATCCGCCTAGTAACTACAATGCTTGCAGCATACAAGTCCAACATAAACTACTCTCTTCCCATTAAATATGTGCTACTAATTGGTTGCCTTGTGACTATTTAGGCGCGATGGTTGTGTGTTGAACGTCGAAAAGAATGACTTCAAAATCCAATTTGAGCTGTGCCGAAGTTTGAGTATTTCGACGCGTTGGTAGACGCTTTCTTCTACCCCGAACCTGTCTGATATTATTTCCATGTTTTCCATTCTCTCCCGCTTAGTCATTCGCGTTGGGTTTGCTGCAATGAAACATTCTTAATGGTTCGCTTTATAATTCTGTGATGGTGAAGGGTTGGCAAGATGTTTTATTGTTTCCAAGATTTTATTTCAATGAGCCAAAAGTTGTGTAACGGGGTGGCCGCGTGATTTTCAGGCGTTGGCTGTGAATTTAGTCGCCTGACATCGTTTTATAAGCGGGATCTTTATACTATTTCGCTCAAAACGTACTCATTGATTCATAGGTATTTAGCAATGGCATCTAGCTAGTGATTCCGCCACATTGTGCCAGAGAAATCTGCGGAATGCATAGTTTTCCAGTAGCATTTTTCAGATATTTCTGTGTTTGTGATAGAACTTGGATTTTAACATTTTTATGGTATATGTTATCTGGTTAAGTTGTGTTTTGGTACTGTTCAAATATATTCATCGACCGTGTATGATTCCCAAATGTTTAAGTGATCAAACAGAAAAATGCAGCATCTAGACTGAAGTTCGCTAACATGGTTCCTTTCAACTGTTTCCCGTATTTAGACGGAAATATTGGAGTTTCGGTCATTAGAAAGAACTTATTTAGAGGATTTCTTTCCACACGATTCAAAAGGGAGTTTTATGAATGTAAAACTCAGTGGCGTGAATAGTTTCAAGGAGATAGCTGTGTCTGATAACATTCAAAGTGTAACAGTATTATATGTGCATACGGTGTTATGGGATCTGCTCAAAAGTAATAGACCAGGTGTTAAAAACAGTTAGGGGTCTTGCAATGACTGGTTGGGGGTTCGGGTTTCATATGGGATATTTGGCCTGATAAATTTCATTGAATCTGTGTACATTTCAAACCACAGAATTGCCATGACTTTTCCAGACGTCTTCGCATTCCGCAGGTTAGCATCTGCTATTTTGCGTTGATTAAATGATCGACTGAACCTGTGTGTGAGCATAATAACACTGAAAACAATGGACAACTTAAATGAAATACCAGATACGCCTATTTGTCCCTAGTGCTCCCCACCTAAATGAACCGCGAAGACATCAGAAGAAAAGGACTTGAGTGTGACTGGACATGGATATGGACATTTATTAGGATGGGACAAGTCCAAAAACAAGTATACAGAGGATAGTCATGGAGCATTTTATCAAGGCGTTGTCCGCTCACTGAAACCACGTAGCCAGTATTTATCTTTTATCCTCCTAAACACCAGATCAGTTCCAAACAAACACTTAACACTAAGCACATTAACTTCTATATGCAGACCTTCATTGATTATGACCACTGAAGCCTGGCGCACAAGTGAAATCTCTAATCATAGCCTATGAATTGATAACTACAACCTTTATCGAGGGCACAGAGGGACAGGCCATGGGGCTGGAACACTAATATAATGTGAACAATCCATGTGTGCAACGCAGTCCAGTGACCCAATCCTGTCACAACTCAATGACTCGATCTGGGTCGAAATAAAAGTTGTCAGATGTAAATCTATACTTGTGGGTTGTGTGTGCCGACACCCTCAGCAGGGAGAATGATAATACGCTCAGCAACATTTTTGGTGCTACAGTTAATCTCCCCTTCAGTTAAAAACTTATTGTAGGTGATTTCGACATGCCAGAAGTATCACTTTGGCGACCCACAAGAGATGACGTTCCTCCGAATTCCATCGTCACGGGAGGGTGGACACAACACACAAATTTACCCAACAGATCTGCAAACATTCTAGATCTTATATTCACAAACGAAATGGTGCACGTGTGGGTCATGAATTTCTAGTTAGTGACCATAGAATAGTAGCTTGCTCTTATAACATCTTCCCCGAAACAATACTCAGATATGAAACTGATCAGACACCTATGAGATTAGCAAAGGCGGTACGTTCGAAATTGATGACATTTTTGCACGTGTTTGCTCTGATATTCATTTACTGCTTATAGTAATATAATCCCTGAAATTATGGTCCAAATTTCTAAAAAACGTGTTCGTAGAAACACAGTTGTTTTAGATAGTGCCTCAACCTCGGTTATAACTGCATTACCACATTGTAATACAGAATTAACTACTAGCTCAAAAAATGGCTTGAGTGCAATTCTCACTCCTGTGATACAGATGAAAGATGTTCTGTTAGAGAACTCTGAGATCTGTAAATTAGACCTCCTTGTGAAAGATATCCAAAGGCAAGTAAATGAACTTCAGGAAAAATTAGGTCAGTTTGATAGAATGTCACTGCCAATGTCAAATATCACGGAGAGCAGTTCTGATATTGGCCAGGTTAAGTCTTTACTGGATGTAACTCAAAGCAAGCTTTCGGATTTAGACCCAATAGCCTGTATGTTAGGAAAGCATCCTAAAATGTCTTCAGATACCCTAAATAAGGCCGAAAATCTGATTGACTGCTTGGCTGCGGAGGTGATGAAGCGTATAACCTCTTCTCACCAGGCTATAGTTTACAATGTCCCAGATTCTCTTCCTCTGAAGACTGTTAAACACAAAATCCTGATTTGTTGCAGCATGGCCAGTGTTCCATGTGAATGCGAAAGACTTCGTAAAAAGTCTAACCAGGCTAACTGTCCCATTATTTTTAAGTTCAGTAACTCCCTTGATTCTAGTAAGTTTATTAAATGTCAGGATCACCTAAGACTGAACAGTAGCTATAAGTCTATAACCATAGCTCAGGATAAAACACCTTGTCAGCGCAGAATAATGCGTAGTAATAACCTGGCCACCTCCTCTAGCTTAGAAATACCCAAGAACGATCGTGCACAGCAACAGTCACCTAATGCTGACATTAGCATTCGGCAAACCACACAACAACCACGCATGGCAATGGAACTAGGAACTGATTTAGATACCAGTACCCCTGTAAATAACGTCTCGCCGAAAGATGTTAAAATAGGTAGAACTGCTGCAAGCTGTTCTAAGAAATTCTTACCCAAACGTGGTCACCTCACCACAATGAACAAATTTCGCCGGGTTGAGACTAATGATGGGGAAGAATACTTTGTATTCAATAAGCCTGCTGAGAGTAAGCGTGTCAAAAAACCCTTAC